AAAACAAGCTTGAAAGCAGGAGTGGAATTCACTTCCAAAATAACTTGCCTCCACAATAGCATGCCTCTGGAAACTCTGAACTTGGAGAAATGATGGAAGTTATTCAAATGTTCAGGTCTTCCATTCATAGCGTGCTATAAGTCATCTAAAACTTGACAGCACTTAACAACAACAACAACAACAAGTTTCTATGAGTCAAGAGACCTCTCCCTTGGATCTCAGCTGCTGAGAAGTCAAGTTGTCAGTGGGGTTGATGATCTCAGCAGAGGCTCCAGATCTTCTCCAAAGCTCATTTTCATTGTTGACAGAATGTGGTTCCTTTGGGTGACATGGGCCCATATATATGTTGGCTATCAGTGGAGATCTGGTATCTTAATGCTAAGGAGTTGGACTGCAAAGGCATGCAGCTTGAATCCACCAGCTGCTCCATGGGAGAAAGACAGGCAATCTCCTCCAGTGTGATTTACTGCCTTGGAAAATCTGTTGGAGGCTCAGCAAAGACTCAGCTCCAAATTGAAGGTATACAACAACAAAAACATCATCATCAGAAGAAGGTCATTGTCTTGATTTCCTAATGCTTCCATAATAAAAACATAGCATTAGTGGGTGACTTTAAATGATAAAAAATATTTTGTCATAGTTCCAAAAGTTAGATGTCAAATTCGGGATGTGGTTCCCTGGGAAGAGGTCCTTTGCTTATTCCAACTTCTAATACTTCCAACAAAACTTGCTTTGTACTACTGGCCTTATGGATGTATCTTCTCTTTTCATTTGCCACTGCATGTGTCTTTGTGTTTATTCTGCTATTAATTGAGAAGTGTCTGGGAAGGGTTTGGAACCCATTCCTTCACAGGCATGGTCTCACTGGCATAACAAAAGAAAAATTTGTTTTTTCCAAACAGGCTCATATTTATTGGTAAAAAAAAAATTAATTAGAATTTCAACAAAAGAATTCTGAGAGACATAGTTCATCCATAAATAATTCCTCCCAACTCCTAAAGGTGTTGTTAGGGCCTTATGACGTGACTCATTCCTCTGACAACACTCTAGCTAAGGGCTTGACTAATGATACAAGGCCCACTCAAGATAGCCTGTCATTTTATTAATGTGAAATAAATTAACACAGATCTTAATGACTTCTGCAAAACCAATTCACTTTGCTATAAAAGTAACATAATAGCAGAAGTGAGAGTCCATTATTTCAGAGGTTCAAACCACGGAGAATAGGAAGTGATTATACAAGGCAAATATATGAGGGGATAAAAAACCACTGGGTCATTTTAAAACTCTGCCCACCACATCTTTCTTTATTTCTTAATCTACCCAATAGCCACTCAGTTTTATGTAAATAAAACATGTGATTGCATAATTAATTTACTATGTTCCAATTACTTCTTATTGTATTTAAGATGAAATTCAACTTCCCTATCATGGTCTATAAATTGATATGTAAACTGATATGAACTGTTGTTGTTGTTGTTATGTGCCGTCGAGTTGCCTGCGACTCATAGCAACCCTATGTATAACAACCCTAAACTCTGCTCTGTCCTGTGCCAATCCCATCTCC